CTCATGCAAATATAATTATATTAACACTTTTTTCAAATAGACAAACAATTGTTTATTTATTTTTTATGGTTAACTAAAAAATATGATTTATGGGATTTTTTTTTGTCTCAGTAGTGATTCAACGTCATTAAAAACAATAAACAAGAGTGTCAGAAAATCAGAAACAAATGAAGACCGTCTGCCTTTGTCTGCCGGGGATGAATAATCCAGAATGTAATCTGGATTAACTGGTGCAGAACTTTTAAATAATTTATAAATAAAGGAGTTTATAAAAGTGATCATCAGAGAAGTCCTTTTATTAAACTGAACCGAGTTTCAGCACACCGTGTGTGTGTGTGTGTGTGTGTGTGTGTGTGTGTGTGTGTGTGTGTGTGTGTGTGTGTGTGTGTATGTGTGTGCGTGTGTGTGTGTGCGTATGTGTGTGTGTGTGTGTGTGTGTGTGTGTGTGTGTGTGTGTGTGCGTATGTGTGTGTGTGTGCTTATGTGTGTGTGTGTGTGTGTGTGTGTGTGTGTGTGTGTGTGTGTGCGTATGTGTGTGTGTGTGCTTATGTGTGTGTGTGTGTGTGTGTGTGTGTGTGTGTGTGTGTGTGCGTATGTGTGTGTGTGTGCTTTTGTGTGTGTGTGTGTGTGCGTGTGTGCATGTGTGTGCGTGTGTGTGTGCGTGTGTGTGCGTGTGTGCATGTGTGTGCGTGTGTTTGTGCGTATGTGCGTGTGTGTGCGTGTGCGTGTGTTTGTGCGTATGTGCGTGTGCGTGTTCGTGCGTATGTGCGTGTGTGTATGCGTGTGTGTGCATGTGTGTGCATGTGCGTGTGTGTGTGTGAGTGTGCGTGTGTGCATGTGTGTGTGTGTGTGCCTGTGTGTGCATGTGTGTGTGTGTGTGTGTGTGTGTGTTTTGGGGTGTGTGTGCGTGTGTGTGCGTGTGATTGTGCGTATGTGTGTGTGTGTGTGTGTGCGTGTGTGTGTGAGTGTGCGTGTGTGCATGTGTGAGTGTGTGTGTGCGTGCGTGTGTGTGTGTGTGCATGTGTGCATGCGTGTGTGCGTGCGTGTGTGCGTGCGTGCGTGCGTGTGTGTGTGTGTGTGTTTGTGTGTGTATGCATGTGTGTGTGTGTGTGTGTGTGTGTGTGTGTGTGTGTTACAACCATCAGATCTGTAAGATTCTGTGTTCGGCATTAGTTGCCATCCTCCCGCTGTCCTCATCTGGATGCTTTTCCGAACTAACCCTAACCCACAGGCCTGGATTTCCTGAGCCCAGGGAACCTAAAGCTCCTCCAGGAAAAGGAGAGCTACTGGAGATAAAGCAGCACTCAGAAGCAAAACAAACCAAATATCAGAGGTTTATTTGAAATCTCCTGGTCTTATATTAACAGCAGAGCTACAGGCTGGAGAGATTAGCAACACTTGGGTCAGCGGTTCCTGGAGAGCATGCTCCACGTTTTTATAAGAGACAAGGGTCAGGATGGGATTCATAAAACCGATCTATTACACTGGTGTTTGTAGATGAGACTCCATCTTAACGCGAGAAAGTGCTCTCCCTGCACTGATCTGTGACTCTGAAGGACTCGCACTCGTTTGATGTGTTACAGTTAAAATGCCCCATGCAGGAAGGAAGTGCTCACCCACCGCTCTCTCTTCCATCTTCAGGAGCTTGATGGGAGGGAGGATTTCTGTGCAGTATTTACAGTGACCTTTTCCCCTCACTGGCCAGGGGCCCATGGGAAAAACTGGAGAAGACAAACAATGAACAATGGGGTTCAGGGATGAGCAGCAGTGCCAGCTCAGCGTGTGTCTACGGGACGCCGATTACAGCGGGTCGGAGGGGTCAGGGCGCGGATCGGGGCGCCGGCGGCGTCCTGTAGGTGCACATCTGGACACCTGCTCAGAAACCCTGCAGCAGAGCGAAACCTGATCCAGCAGGATCAGCTGTTCTGTTCAGGTGAGAAGACTCATCGTGAAGCTGCAACATCCGTGGAGCACATTTTGATTTAAACCAAAAATGATTATTTTACATTTAGATTATAGGAATATTGGTTTGATTCACAGTATGAAGACTTCTGCAGTGTGTTTACATTTAAAAACATCAGTTGTATTCAACTCTAATCAGTGCTGCTCTTTTTATTATCATTATTTTCTCATAACAGTAAAAGAAAAAGCTTTAAAGATGTCAAAACCAAAGAGATCCTCTCACGTGAGTCTGTTTGACCCTTTTACTGATATTTAAACGGTGAAATCAACTCACTATTTTATTTATGAAGCACTGTGTTAATGTTAACTTTAAAAAGGTGCAGCTCAATAAGAGAGATGGTTGTATTTAGTTTGATTACTTATTTCTTCTTTAACCTTTTATACTTCTGCAACAACTCTGCTTTCTCCTCATTTTTGTCTTTTATTCTGACGAGCGAAGCTAGCTAACGCCAGTGTTGGGAGTAATGCGGTACAAAAGTAATTAATTACTGTAATACATTGGTTTTTGCTGTAATGTGGTAATGTAAGGCATTACAGGGAAAGAAAATGGTAATATTTACTCGGTACAATTGTCAGTAACGCGGTGATTACAATGCATTTTTAAACCCAGAATCAAAATGCGTTTCTTAAAAATTCTAATTGCGGGAAACCCGAAGAAAGATCCAGTATCTGCATATATCACGTCATTTATGGACTCAGCTTTGCAGGCAGAGAGGACGCCGCGGTAACGGCTCAGCTGCGTCCTGCACGCGGCCGCTGTAACATTCACAAAATCGCTCCACTAAAACAAAATAATTCACTTGCGATCGTTCATATCAGCGCATATTCTCTGGTGTTTTATGCTTTTCTGACGTACTTTTTCTCAGCTGAGTTCATAATCTGTGCCGCGGTGATTTCAACTCATTGCTGCTGGAGCGCCGCGCATGTGAAGATCCCTTTGGCTGACAGAAAGTAGGAAGTCTAGGAAACACTTTTTTCTGGAAGACGGAGAAAACATGCAGCATGCAGGAAGGTTAGAGAGAGAAAGGGCTGGAAATTATTCAAATAAAATCAAGAAAAAAAGAAACAAAGTAGGTAGATTTCTCCCCAATACACATTTTTATCAGTGAAAAGCAATAATATATAAGCATTTAATATTTATACGTGTGATAGAATCAGATCTCCCCAGAAGTCAGTCCCACATCCAGGGCCGTATCAAGGCATTTGGGGACCAAGGCAAATATAGGCTTGGAGACCCCACCACCTCACTCCCTGATCAGTTAATATAAGATGGCATCATGCTGAGAGTACAGATTGTTGTTGCTTTTACTTAATAAACAATCATTTTAAAGCACTGTTATTATATCTGACTGTTTTTAACAGCAACCCTAGCTCAGACACCACATCACCTTCACATATATGTCATGAGCTCACTGAGCGTCAGATTACCAGATCCATATTGAAGTTGTTTTGGTGAAAGTAACTTAAAGTAATGCAAAAGTAGTGTAACGCCTTACATTTTAAAATCAGTAATATTGTAATGTAATTAATTACTTTAAAATGAGGGTAACAAGTAATAAATAATGCATTACAGTTTTGAAGTAACTTGCCCAACACTGCTGACGTGTTTTTAAAAATGTTCCAAATTTCAAACATTTAGAACGAAGACATTTTTATATCTCACATTCTCACCCATATTTACTAAATGTATATTTTCCTACCTCATTCTATGACTTCTTTACATTTTTCTTCTTTTTACATGATACACAGTCAAACAAAACAATACATTCGTATCTAAAATCCAAGATGAATGATGTGCAGATAAGTAGGCCTTGGTTTGAAAGGAATTTGTATTTATGTAAAGCAGCCATTCTCGCCATGACTATTTTACATTGTTTTAAGTGTTTTGGACTATAAATGCAGAGGCTTTTAATAGATTTTTGTCCTAAATATTAGAGTGAGTAACGTGTAACCTGCAGATTCAGGAGCGCCGATGTTCTCTCTGACTGGCAAAAATTGGCAAGAAAAAGATGAGAATCTTCCATCATCGTTGCCGTTAAGCAGATGTTTACGTAGACAAACAGCCTGTGTGTTACATCAGCATCTGTACTCCCAAGTCACAGTTTAATCTCTTAATTATCAGATTACTCCGTGTAATTGGACAATATGGTTCCCCCAGAGACTGGGCCTTGCCTTATCAGAGGAATTCTTTCTGCCCTGCACAATTTGGTGGGATAAATGTAAGGGTATCAGTGCTGTAGTGTGAGCATGGGTGGTCTGTTGCATTTCTAATGATGCTGCGCCTTTCCCAGAACAAGTGGAAATACCGCAGTGATGCACCGTGAAAAGAGAGATGAGGAAAGAGCAAAGCTCCCTCTGGGCTCAGGCTTTCTCACATGATGGACACCCAGCTCTTCAGAAGAACAAGACATTTGTGCAACATGCAGATTAAATTTAACATTTTGTGTGGAATTAAAATTTGTTAAAAGCCTTTAAAAATAACCAGAATAAATATGTAATTAACTAATGCAACAAGACTAATATCAAATTGAATGAAAACATTACCCAGATCATGAAAATCCTAAACTCTGGAATGATCTCTCGTTGGATATCCATTGGGTTTTTTAAGTCTCGCTTAAAGACTTACTTTTATTCCTTTGCTTTTTCTGCCATTTTATTTAGGTTTATTTATTCTATTCTTTTACCTATTTTACTGACTTCTCTTGTTTGGTTCTATGTGCTATGCTCTAGTTGTCTATTATTTATATTATTATTTTTTAACTTTATATGTTTTTACCCCTGTACAGCACTTTGGTCGGCTCACATGCTGTTTTTAAATGTGCTCTATCAAATAAATGGAATGGAAACAGTTTGAGAAGGTACATTTATTTGTAAATGTAGTAAAATAATTCAAATACATTTTTATAATGGTTTTAGTAAAATATGCAAAGTTTATTGTCCCTATAAATTCAATGGACAAAACGTAACAAGTGACTGGATAAATTATTAAACTAGTAGTTACTTATTGGCTTATATTCAACTACATTTAATTTATACAACTTTATTTTGAAAGTCTTAGACAGGAAACGGTTACCGGACACCGGAAATAGTCGCTGCAGACAAGCCTGTTTGAGCTGTAAGTTTCACTCTTCTCTAAAATATATATTCCTATTTATTCGGAAACAGTTAAAACTATTATTGGACGAATGACCAGAACTTCAGCTTCTTGTGGGCTCGTATGAACTCAAGTGAAAGCCATTGTTTACCTCCGGGCCAGCTAGCTGGAATGCTAGCGGATGTTATCTGTAGGCTAAAGTTAGCTGTCAAAGCTGTCAACGCGGTGATTGTTATTTATTTGTCTTTGAAATCGTCTACTGGGTTTTCTTGTAAGTCGTACCGTCTGTGTGATAATTCTTTTTATGGTCAGTGCTTGTAGAAAAGAATGTGAGACTGGTCGGAAAGGGCCAGTTTCGACTGGGCAGTCGGCTTAGTCAAACTCTGTTTATATTTGATCATATTTTAAATGTTTGTTACTTTATTTGTAACTTAGAACAATTTCATGTCTTCGCTACAATTGCCAACCATCCAAGTAAAATTCGGCAATTTATTTTTGTATTAAATAATGGTACAAATCGTTTTTTCGTTTTTATGAATTTTAAGTAATCAGCACAGTTTCCACCATGAATGAGATGAACTTGTGAGTCTGTGTTGGGAATTAGGCTTTAAGGATGGAATTACCCACAGATACTCATCTAAATCGTAACTTTAGGCACTTTGTTTGCTCGTTTGAAAAGCAAGAGGTCAATTTCTCAGAGATAATTAGTGTCTAATTCCAAACCAGTGTTTCCCAACGCAGGGGTCAGGACCCGACTTTAGGTCTCCTAGAAGAAGAAAATATAATTTCTATAGCGCCTCTCAAGATAAAAATCACGAGGCGCTTCACAAAAACAAAACATGTAAAAAATATAAAAAATAACTTAGAAATGAATGAAAATATATTTTAAATGAGCAAAAAATAGACACGTGTGATTAAAAATGTTAAGAAAGAGAGAGAGTGAATAGGAAAGGGGGAAATCAGTGGATCCTGAGGAAGGTGGAATAAGTAGGGAGAGCAGAATAAAGAGAGAGTGGTGAAGGTCATACAAAAGCCAGCTTGAACAAGTGAGTCTTCAGCTGCTTTTTAAAGGAGACCACTGAGTCCACTGATCTCAGGCTCAGGGGGAGAGAGTTCCAGAGTCTGGGGGCCACAGCAGCAAATGATCTGTCACCTTTGGTCTTAAGCCTGGTGCTGCACAACCAGTAGGCTTTGATCACTGGACCTCAGGGACCTGCCGGGGGTGTAGGGACTGAGATCACCAATGTAAGATGGTGCTTGTCCATGTAGTTCCTGAGCAGAACCTCCCTGAACCGTCTACAGGTGGTTCAGAATGCCTGTGCCCGGCTTCTGACCAAGTCCTCCAAACACGCCCACATCACCCCGCTTCTCCTCCAGCTTCACTGACTGCCAGTTAACTTCAGGGTTCAGGGTTCAATAAAAGCAGTGTTATACGAAATGGAAGGCCTGTAGTGTTTATTCGCTTACAGTAACAATTTTATCAATTTTTTGGAGGAATTTATTTTAGATTTTCTTGTTTTTATTAAATGTGCAATAAAAAATAATCACTAGATTATTTGTCTAAATAGTCATTAGAATAGTCAACTATTCGATAAAATAATCGTCAGAATAATCGTTTTAAAAATAATTGTTTACCCCGAGCCCTAGTCACGGTAACCGGTGTAGCGGTAAACCCCGGTAAAAAAGTTGACAAAATAATAACCTTCTTGTTTTTTTAAAAGTATATTATCTCGGTGGATTACCGTGGCTGTGGTGTAGGCGCGGTGACCCTTACAAGCCACCGTATCATCTGCTGAAGTTGCCGGTGGCACATGCGCACTTTGTTGTTTACAACCAAAACTTTCTTGAAACTAAAGCTGAAATAATGGTCAAATGAGGAGACGGCAGCACTCAGGACATTTTTTATCCCTCAAACAAGACAAAGTGGGAAGTACGGGCATCTTTTGGATATCTGAAGAATGCCGAGGGACATTTGATAGAAGACGGCTATCCTGTTTGCAGCACGTGCAGAAAAAGTGTCTGTGAAAGGTAGCAACGCTTCAAATCTCATGACACATCTGCATGACCATCACCCACAACTCTACAGTCAACGCAAGGCAAGTTAACGTTAGCGTTTTAGCTAAAATGTGTGATCCGAGGATTTGGGTTGAGGGAGAATGCAACGAGTCGCTATATAAAGCAGCCACAGCGCCGCTACCTGCATATAAACCGTGTCGCGGACACCGCCATGTTGAAATGACGCTATGCATTACGGGGCTCCCAGGGGCAGATAAGAGTTGGTCTCTCTCCGAGAACAATTATGAGTTTAACAATGATTACTGCCTGATGACATTTTCCCACATCTGCAAAGCTCACTGGAAGGACACAAACCGAGGACAATACTTTCCTGATATAGTGTTTATTACTCAAGTAAGGGTAAAAAAGTATCTGATTAGAAGGCTACTTGAGTACTGAGTATCATCTGATCTAATATTTTTAAAATGATGACATCAAAAAGACAAAAAATAAGAAGTTATGTGCAAATATTGGTATTTTAAAGACTAAAGGGGAAAAATGTAAACAAATAAACAACATAATTACTAAATAACACATTTTAGGCTAAATTTAGCCACAAACTGAGGACAATATTTTCCTGATATACAGGGTTTACTTAGTTGTCTGAAAATGTAACATGTTTAAAAAGATATCGCGATAATACCGAAAACCGTGATAATTTTGGTCACAATAACTGTCAGGTAAAATTTTCACACCGTGACAACCCTAGTTTTTTTCAAGCAAAGAGCAAGTTGCCACATAAGGGATGAACGAGTTGAAATGAAAACAGGGTTCGTCTGTTTCGGCTCTGTTGTTTCGGTGATTTAGGAGTTTCAACCGAAAATAAGCTTTTGAGTAAATTTTGGCCAAAAGTTTTCGTTGGCTGAATTTTCAGTGCATCCCTAGTCTGTTCCTAAATAGTAGTGTTGATAGTGATTATTATGTTTTTGGTTGCACATAGAGCAGATTATTTGTTTGTTGCTTTTAAAATCACTTACCTTCTTCCCCTGGGAAATATTTTACATACATTTGACATCCATTTTCATTGTTACATGGATGACACCCAGCTCTATGTATCCCCCAAACCCTCCTCTTCACTTCCTCCTTCCTCCCTCACCAATTGTTTATCTGAAATCAAAGACTGGTTCACATCGAACTTTCTCAAACTTAACTGTGATAAAACAGAAATGTTACTTGTCGGCACTAAATCTTTACTATCCAAAATCCACAGCTTTACACTTCCTATCGACAACTCCTTAGTTCCCCATCCCCTCAGGTCAAGAGTCTGGGTGTCATCCTTGACTCCTCACTATCCTTCCAGTCCCACATAAACAATATTACCCAGTCTGCCTGCTTCCATCTACGTAACATTAACAGCCTAGCCCCTCCCTCACTACTCACTCAGTCGCCATCCTTGTCCACAGCCTCATCACTTCCCGTATTGACTACTGCAACGCTCTTCTCTTCGGTCTTCCTCACAAATCCCTCCATAAACTCCAACTTCTCCAAAATTCGGCAGCCCGCATCATTTCCAGAACTCCCTCCTTCCACCACATCACCCCTGTTCTTCAGCAGCTCCACTGGCTCCCAGTCACTTCCAGAATCCAATTCAAAATTCTGCTATATACATTCAGCCATCCATAACCTAGCTCCACCGTACCTCTCAGACCTCCTTCATCCTTCAACCTCCACCCGTTCCCTCAGGTCCTCCTCCTCCATCCACCTCTCTGTCCCACCTTTCCGTCTGGTCACTATGGGGAGCAGGGCCTTCAGTCGCTCTGCTCCCCAGCTCTGGAACTCCCTCCCTCCTGACCTCCGTAACATTGATTCCCTCACTCTCTTTAAAACCAGACTCAAAATCCACCTGTTCCGTCTAGCATTCCAATAGTTACTCTCTTTGCTCCAATCTGTCTGTTTGTTTTATGCTGTTATTTCTTTTATTGTTGTGTATTTTATCTCTGTCTCTAAAGTGTCCTTGAGTGTTCAGAAAGGCGCTGTTGAAATAAAATCTATTATTATTTATTATTAAAACTCTGAGATGATTATGACGTAATTCCTGAAAGGAACACTGTTGTAAAGTTTAATTATAGAAACTTTGACTTGGTCGAAGATCACACCCACTGTTCCTGCTCTTATAAAACCTTAATGTTATTTAAGAGCTGCACTTTTTGTGTGTGCTCTTATCTTTCTAGCTCTCTTTGGCCTCATTAAGTGGAGTGTTTTCAGACTCAATAAAGCTTAAGCTCCTGTAATTCCTTTTTTGTGTGTTTTAGTCAAATGTTGTTGTATCATAGTCTTTTTAAATAGTTTAGTCCAGAGAAAACAGCACGTCTGTGTGTGTTTGTTCAGCAGATTGATGAGAAAGTGAATGAGAGTGGTTGAATGACATGTTAACAGCGAACCAGCAGCGTGTCCTAAAGGGCATTGTTCCTAATTTGGTTGAAACCCACACCCATAAGACCACACTGAGCTGTTTGTCACCTTCACTTCTACAGAGTCATCACTACTCTGCAAGAGGAAAGTGGGGAGGGGAATGCATGGGGGCAAAGCTACACTCATCCATTTCCTGTCCCCTCCTGGGGCTCTAATTGAAAAATTTGGGTGGCCCTGCTTGTTTGTTTTGGTGGACTGTGGTGGGTTGTGTGTTTTGAGGCTTTCCCTCAGTCACGCTGCTCCAAAGACCTCAGGGTGAATCAAGCAACGGGGGTCAGGCCAGACTATGTTTGTAAAGCAGCAGTTCATGCAGTCTGACCCACCTGGTAGCCCCCCTCTTCCCTGCAGAGAGACTTATTGGGCCACTGGTCTTCACACTGTGGTTTCTGTGACCCAGTCAAGGCAGAACAGCTCAAAGACAGGCAGACGGGCTGCAGCCTGGGTGACAAAGAGAAACGCATAACTTTAGACACAGGTTCACTGCAAAAACATATTTTAGCCTTAATCAGACTTACTGAGGTAGTCAGTGTTAAGAAAATAAACCATAGATTAAA